ATTAAAACATGGTAAGTATGAGAGCATGGAAATAATCTCTGAATGGCTGAGCAGAAATACAGGCTTCACAGTTTGATCAAATGAACGATCAAGGACTGCAAATGTTAAAACTGTTATCATACTTTCTGAAAAACACATATGAATTGCTTTTTTAGCATTTCAATACTTAATATCAATGTACCAGTCAGAAATAGTTTATAATGCCAAACAGAAAACTCCCTGCATATAGAACTATTTACTTTCTCTGAAAATCTATTTTTTGTCTACACAGTGTTCATTACACTGCTTCAGTAATTTCTTTATTGGCAAACTGCAGGATACCTAGATTTTATTTTTTCCCCTTCCTAAAATGCATTAAGTATCCAAATCTATTTCAATATATGAACTGTTATACTCATTACTATGGTCAGCAGATTTTTAAAAAAACTATTGTGGTTTGACTCTCTAGAGTCTTTAGGCAACTTAGAATTAATCAACAAGCCACGAGCTCCATCCTCATATTCCCATCACAGTCCATAAGCCTTTCTTGTGCACTGTTGAACCTTTGAAAGGTTAGACAGCATACTTCCAACATAATAATCTTAGGAAGAGACCACAGTGGTGTGATACATAAAGAAAGCATGCATGTGTGTTTAGTAGGGCTGGGCGGTTTCGTTTCGTAATTTCGTAATTCGTTAAAAATTCGTTATTTTTTTTATAACGAAGCGATAACAACCATTCAGGAGCAACTAAAAAATGAAACGAATTTTTAAATTCGTTTCGTAATTGTTTCGAATTCGTTTTGTATTCATTTCGTTATCGTTTTGAAATCGTTTCGTTATTATTTCCGCATGTCTGGGGCAAGTTTTATAGTTGTTGTTTGTTTAATCAGTGAAAAAAAATTATAAATATCACACCAACAGTCAACAACAGAGGGAGAGGGAAGCTTCAGAAGTTCCCCCTGTCCCATTTGGAGGTTTTTTAGCGTATTGCGCGGTCGCGTCCGCCATTAACGAATCGATTTGTAGTTTTTGTTGTTTTGCCGTTTTGTGAGTGTGTTGTTGTGTTGTTTTTCATTTTGAGTAAATATGTTTGTACCTTGTGGGTTGTGTTATGGGCATGGGAATGTTGGTTAAGTTTCGTTGGGGGGTTGTGGAGTTTTGCTGTCCGGTTGAACCAACCTAACAGATTTATATATATAGATTAGTATTTCAATGGGAAGTGTGGACCTGCTTTTGGCTGATGAGATAGGATTGTGGTGGTGGTGGTGGTGGTGGTGGTGGTGTGCTTTCAAGTCATTTTAGACTTAGGTTGACCCTGAATGAGGGCCGGGTAAATGGCCTTGGAGGGCCGTATCCGGCCCCCGGGCCTTAGTTTGAGGACCCCTGGACTAAACTATGCCTACCTTAGCTACTTCCTTTCCCTCTGATTGATAAGCAACTCCCTCCAATTCACCAGCCAATCAGACTGCACTTCCAGGTATGAGGCTTCCTGATTCCTAGGCTTTTCCAAGCCAGGCCTGTTTATTGCTTTTACACCAACCCTGTAAGGTAGGCCAATCCATTACAGCAGCCCTCATTGTTGGTCATATCAGCTGGAGATACTAGGGTTTGCTATTCAACAAGAGGTACTCCTTGACAGAGGTACTCCTGGTCAGTCGAAAGGCCGAACAGGGCATAGGGTTACAGCCTGTGCTGGACGGGGTTACAAAGGCGCAGGTTCGCAGTTTGGGAGTTCTCCTAGATTCATCGCTGAGCCTGGAGCCCCAGGTTTCGGCGATGGTCAGGGAGCTTTTGCACAATTAAAACTTGTGTGCCAGCTGCGCCCGTACCTTGGGAAGTCTGACTTGGCCACGGTGGTCCACGCTTTGGTTACATCCCGTTTAGACTACTGCAACGCTCTCTACGTGGGGTTGCCTCTGAAGACTGCCCGGAAGCTGCAGCTAGTCCAACGCTCGGCAGCCAGACTACTAACGGGTGCTGGGTACAGGGAGCACACCACTCCGCTGTTACACCAGCTCCACTGGCTGCCAATTAGCTTCCGAGAACAATTCAAAGTGCTGGTGTTAACCTATAAAGCCCTAAACGACTCCGGCCCTGTTTACCTCTCCGAACGTATTCTCCCCTATGAACCATCAAGATTATTAAGATTGTCTGGAGAGGCCCTGCTCTCGGTCCCACCGGCCTCGCAAGCGCGTCTGGTGGGGACGAGGGACAGGGCCTTCTCGGTGGTGGCCCCTCGACTCTGGAACTCTCTCCCACTGGAGATCAGAACCGCCCCGTCTATCCTGACATTTAGGAAACAGGTGAAGACTTGGTTATGGAGACAGGCATTCGACGAGTGAGCCAACACCCTGAGATATGGATGGAGGATGATGAGCAACGATTTAGTGACGATTGACCATTATAGTTATTTATTGTAATTGCTGTTTTAATGTTTTACTGTAATATGTATTATGATGTTTTATTGATTGTATGTGATATTATGGTTGGAAACCGGTCTGAGTCCCTCAAGAGAGGTGAGAAGGCCGGTATACAAAACTTTTAAATAAATAAATAAATAAATAAAAGAGCAACACAATTGGCTCTTATGGTTTTAATCCACTCTAGGAAAGTTTATTAATGCAACATGACTATACACACTGAGCTGGAAATAACTTCTCAGCTGAGATATGCAGAGTTTCACTGTAAATTTCAGCCAGGTAGGCTGCAGTTAAAAACCCAGAATCCAAAAAGAAAGAAATGTTGCCCAGAATGTGTAGTGACTTGGCAATCTCTGAATTGAGGCTGTCCTCTTTCAAAAAGAAAGCTGGGCTTTTTTATTCCATTAATAGCAAGCTGACACACAGGCATTTCCCAAGCAAAGACTACTTGCATTGTCTTTGTGGAATTGGAAGCCAGTTTACTGGTGCCAGTTTCTCTTTCGCTCGTCGGAAAAGGGTCATTAGGTTTTGGAATAGTGAACAATAGCTTCTTATGCAAATACTGCAATCATTTGGATTTGAACAGCTTCTCCAGTTAGTTTCTATGCATTAGTTTCTATGCATTGTAATTGTGAAACCCAGAACTTGGAAAAGTTACTTTTCTCAAGTACAACTTCCAGAATTCAACTGTTTTCCCCAACTTTTGTCAATGATTTTGTTATATATAATTCATCCCAACCACAATAAAAGTTTAGCCTAAAATAAGGTAATATTACTTGTTAATGCAGGATACTCAGGTTGGCTGGGGATAATAAGGGGTGTAATGTGTGTGTATTATATTATATGTTATTATATTATATTATATACACATAACAAAATTGAAAATATGTGTGTGTGTGTGGCTGGATGTCCACTTGCACAGACAAGCTCCTGCCTCCAAAAACAGCTATGGCTCCCACTTCCCAGGAGACACCAAAGGCCTTCCCTCCAATGACCTTGCAGGTTATAGTGAGCACCATGAACATGTCCCAAGAGTCCTGCCAATGTCCTCCATAAACACAATACTGCCCACCACCCAAGTGAAGGTTTTCATACAGGGACCATTTCATCCTAGATTTTATGTGTTTCCTCCACCATGGACATCAGAGTGTTTCTTACTCTCTCCATTGGTGTGGAATTTGCATGACCCCGCCCACTGCCTCTCCCTTAACCCTTTCCTATTCTTTTCTATGACACATGACAGAGGAATTGATTAACAACTGAACATACTGGATGGGTTTGGGGAGAATTCACCATGATTTATAGGAATTGTAGGTGTACTGGGATGTATAGTTCACCTGCAATCAATGAGCACTCTGAATTCCATCAAAGAGGGAACTGGGCCAAACTTGACGCACATAGCCCCCATGACCAGCAAAAAATACTGGAGCTCTTTGGGGGGGGAATTCACCTTGATTTGGGGGAGTTGTTGTTTACCAACATCCAGAGAGTACTGTGAACCCAAGCACCAATGGATCGGGGCCAAACCAGGCATACATACCTGATATGTAGAAATTTGATTACTGGAGGGGTTTGGGGGGGGGGGGGTGACCTTCCTCTCTGGGAGTTGTAGTTCACCTACAACCAAGGAAACTGTGACTTCCATCAATGATGGACCTGCACCAAACTTGGCAAACAGAACCCCTATGACTAACTTACCCTACTGGAGGGGTTTGAGGGAACTGACTAACCACAGTGGGAGTTGTAGTTTACCATACAGCCAGAGAGCACACTGAACCCCACCAATGATGCATCCAGAGCATACTTGGCCAACATAACAAACTTTAAGTACTGATGGAGTTTGTTAGGGTTAACCTGGCATGATGTCAGTTGTAGTTCATCCACAACCTTATGCATTTTGTACAATTAAAAACTGACCTTTCCATACATATATAAATATACATACATATACATATACATATATATATATACACACACACACACATAAATATATATATATATATTTCTGAGGAACCCCCAGTGGTGCAGTGGGTTAAACCGCTGAGCTGCTGAACTTGCTGACCAAAAAGTCACCAGCTCAAATCCGGCAACCTTTCGTTAGCCCCAGCTTCCGCACACCTAGCAGTTCGAAAACATGCAAATGTGAGTAGATCAATAGGTACCACTCTGGTGGGAAAGTAATGGCGCTCCATGCAGTCATGCTGGCCATATGACCTTGGAGATGTCTACGGACAACGCAGGCTCTTCAGCTTAGAAATGGAGATGAGCACCAATCCCCAAAGTTGGACATGACTGGACTTAATGTTAGGGGGAAATCTTTACCTTACCTATATATTTCCAGGCTCTAGAAGCAAAGGAATTGCCTAATTCCCCACCCTCCAGACACACACACGTCCATTATTTAGTACTTTTTGAAACTGAATGTCCCTCTCTGAATGGTGAATAGGAGATGAAATATTAGAACACAATAAAAGGCCTGTTCGTTTTCCCTGCTGCAAACGACAGGTAAAACAAGCCGCCCATAATAAGACAATATGATGCCAAACCAACCAGATAAAGCCCTATTTCTGGCAGGAGAGAGGCTGAGTAACTTTTGTGATCAGATGAAATGCTTTCCTGAGCATCAAACCAAAGGGGAAGGTCACAACGCTGTGCTCCTTACCACCATTCGCAGGTCTTCCTCTGAAGTAAGGTCAACCAGGGAGAGGCACAAAAGAAACTACTGAAATTTTGCAAGTAGGTATTGGATGCTATCATAAAGATAAATGATTTTCATAGCAAACCAAGCACCTGAATTCTGATGAGATGCCAGTATAATGAAACTTTATATCATATAGTGAGGCAACAGAACTGGTTGGAAAAGACAATAATGCTGGAGAAAGCAGAAGACATGACTAGACAAAGGCAAGATTGATTTATATATAAATTGAAGTCGCAGCTCCAGGTCAGGAAGATTTGAGTAGTATTTCAACTCTCCCATTTATAGGATTGCCATAAATCAATCTGATTTAATGGGAAACAACAACACCCTTGCCTATTTAGAAATGAAATCATACTGAGCGCCATTCTATAGGGGATTGCAGACCAAACAGCAAATCCAAAGGACTTGGATAAACGGTAATTTTCATTTGTTTCAGGTCCGTTGTATTTCACCCTTTGAGATGATGGTATTAATTCTCGTGCCCTTCCTCTGCATCGGAGTATCGGGAAGCCCAGGTAAGATCAAGGAAGAGGGTATTTGTCACAAAATAGCATTTCAAACACAGGAATGATGGAAATGAGAACAACAGTGTCAAGATTTAAAAAGAGAACGACACTGTCGGGATTTAACCCGGAGTTGCAGTAGGTGGGGGTGACTTCTTAGAACAGTGTTTCTCAACCTGGGGATCGGGACCCCTGGGAGGGTGTGAGGGAGGTGTTGGAGGGGCCACCAAAAACCATCAGAAAACACAATATTTTCTTTTCGTCATGAGGGTTCTGTGTGGCAGGTTTGGCCCAATTCTATCGTCGGCGAGGTTCAGAATGCTCTTTGATCATAAGTGAACTATAAATCCCAGCGACTACAACTCCCAAATGTTAAGGTCTATTTTCCTCAAACTCCACCAGTGTTCACATTTGGTATTCCTGCCAAGTTTGGTCCAAATCATGTTGAGTATTCCTGTCAAGTTTGGTCCAAATCTATCATTGTTTGAGTCCACAGTGCTCTCTGGATGTAGGTAAACTACAACTCCAAAACTCAAGGTCAATTCCCACCAAACCCTTCCAGTATGTTCTGTTTGCCATGGCAGTTCTATGTGCCACGTTTGGTTCAATTCCATAGTTGGTGGGGTTCCGAATGCTCTTTGATTGCAGGTGAACCATAAATCCGGGCAACTACAACTCCCAAATGACAAAATCAATTCTTCGCCCAACCCCACCAGTATTCAGATTTGGGCGTATTGGGTATTCATGCGAATTTTGATCCAGTAAATGAAAATACATTCTGTATATCAGATATTTACATTATGATTCATAACAGAACCAAATTACAGTTATGAAGTAGCAATGAAAGTAATGTTATGGTTGGGGGTCATCACAACATGAGGAACTGTATCAAGGGGTCACGGCATTAGGAAGGTTGAGAAACACTGCTGTAGACTCTATTTCATACTCACCTCTGAGTATGCCTTGCCCCCTGGGCAATGTCCTTGCAGATAGCCAATTCTCTCACACCAGAAGTGACTTGCAGTTTCTCAAGCTGCTCCTGACACCAAAAAAAAAAAAAAACCAAACCAACCAAACAAAACAAAACTCTGAGTATGCCTTGCCTAAGCAAACCCTATGAACTTGATAAGGTTGCCATAAATCAATAGGTAGAATGAAGAGTACATTCACCATGATAGATCAGACTGATTTTAATAAAATACCTTTGGGAGCAGGTTATAACATGGCAGCCTGAATCCCATTAAAAGGCAGCAGACGACTGCGGTTTTGATTATACTGCATGTCGTGGATTAAATTATTGAAAATTCCAATATCTCGGATGATAATTATCCCCTAACTTCTAAGCTTCTTTGTCTTTTGTTAGCTGCCAAGATTGTACTTCCTGCAGGAATCCCATAATCCAAACAATTAAAGCGTAACAGATCAAAGTTCTGGAGAGTGCCAAAACAGAACAATTAACCGAAGAGCCAGCTCTGGCTCCCAGACTTAAAGGGTGGGGAAACCGAATACTAATAATATAATCTCAATTTATTGTGTACTGGAATGCACAGTGTAATTATTTAGATTTCAAAAGATTATTATTATTATTATTTATAATCCCCTTGTCTGAAATCTTCAAAGATCGAAACTTTTTTTCCTGCTAGCTGCCCACTTCCACTGTTAACACTCCAGCTCTTTCGTCTCTCCAATCCTCAATTTCTCTCCAGATTAATTACCTGCTTGGTCATTATTTGTATTATGTGAAGTGGGCATAAGCAGCTGGCAGCAAAAGGTTTTGATTCCCCATCATTTTGCAAAACATCAGCCTCTCTTTCCAAGTTTTCATCTCATACACAAGACAAACAGTGAATGAATGAGAAATGAGGCTAGAGAGAGATGTGAGGCTTGGAAAAGACATATGTATATCTACAAAAGGTAAAGAAATACCACTTATGCAAGTGACAGGCATGTAGCCCCGGGGGGGGGGGGGGGGCTTGAGGGGCTTCAGCCCCCCCCCCCCCCGAAATTCTCATGTTGGTTCGCGAAAAGGCCTTACTGGTGCATTATTTAAACTGTTATGTTTATTCATATCATGATCTGATCACCATACTCAATATATCCCATATGCATGGGGGTATTGGGGTAACGATACAAAAGGTTTGCTAGGGTAGACCCTCTTTCACTCAGACTCAGCCCCCCCCGAAACAAACTCAGCCCCCCCCCCCGAATCGAAATCCTGGCTACGGGCCTGGCAGGTGAGATGCACAAATGCCAGCAAGGTCCCCATGATTGAACAGAAGCGTTCAATGTATTGTCAAAGGCTTTCATGGCCTAAATCACTATGTTGTACGTTTTTTGGGTTGTATGGCCATGTTCTAGAAGCAATCTCTCCTGATGTTTCGCCTGCATCTATTGCAGGCATCTTCAGAGGTGTGACCTCACAACCTCTGAGGATGCCTGCCATAGATGCAAGTGAAACGTCAGGAGAGAATGCTTCTTGAACATGGCCATACAACCCGAAAAACTTACAACAACCTAGTATTAAACAGAAGAATTTATGTTTTAAACTTGAGTCCCAAATCCAACATATTTCCTTGTACATATGCAAAAAATAATAATTCAAAATACGGAATGTTTCTGGTCCCAGTTTTTTGTAATAAGTAATTAACAACAGTTCCAACAGACCTCACTACTTCTGAGGATGCTTGCCATAGATGCAGGCGAAACGTCAGGAGATAATGCCTCTAGAACATGGCCAAATAGCCCGAAAAAACCTACAATAACCCAGTGATTCCGGCCATGAAAGCCTTCGACAATAGATAATTAACAACAGTTGACACTGTATATAGATCTTAATTAATTTCATCGTTTGCTTCTCTGAGTGGTGTAATGGGTTAAGCCCTTGTGCTGGCAGGACTGCTGACCAAAAGGTCGGCAGTTTGAATCCAGGGAGCAGGATGAGCTCCTGCCTGTTAGCTCCAGCTTCTCATGCAGAGACATGAGAGAAGCCTCCCACAGAATGGTAAAATATCTGGGTGTCCTCATGGCAGATGGTCAATTCTATTACACCAGAAGCGACTTGCAGTTTCTCAAGTTGCTTTCTGACACGGAAAAAAACCCCCAACCTTTTGCTCATCTTTTTTTAATGAATCCAGCCCTGTCAAGGCTTGCCTCTTTCTCTGGAGAATTTGGTGGCGACAGCGGAGAATATTTTGACCATTCAAGTAATGAACTGGATGGCCCCATGACTGCCCTGAAAATAAGAGCAAATGACAGATACCTCTTAAGGTATGTATATCTTTGAAGACTAGGGACTATTGGAGACCCTGAGGTTTCATAGAGTGTTTTATTTATCTTTTAAAACTTTGAAAATGATTATATATTGTGCTGGTTTTCATTGTTATTTGATTTCGCTATGAATGTTTTTAAATTGACTGTCTCTAGGTACAGCCTTGGGTTTTACTTTCAGAGAAAGGCAGCATAGAAATGAGATGGAAAGATAGATAGATTAAAAAATTTGACAGACATCACCTTGTCACAAGAGGTGGAACATAGACATTAGCAGAAGTGATGTTTTAAGGGTCAAACCCTAGCAGTGCTGTTAAGCATCACACATTAAGCATCAACAGTCATGCAAGCAAAAATAAAGTCTAACAAATGAAGTTCACATACACTTTGCAATGCAATGCTCTCACCCTGAGATTCATTCCCATTCACCTTGAGGACCAGAGAAGTGCATGAAGCACCTGAAATCTGCAAAACATAATTAGAATTCTTCATTAGCTCCTTAGGCTGGATCCACACTGCCATATAATCTAGATTTTTTTTTTTGTCATATCAGGAGCAACTTGAGAAACTGCAAGTTGCTTCTGGTGTAAGAGAATTGGCCGTCTGCAAGGACGTTGCCCAGGGGATGCCCAGATGATTTGATGTTTTTATCATCCTTGTGGGAGGCTTCTCTCATGTCCCCGCATGAGGAGCTGGAGCTGATAGAGGGAGCTCATCTGCCTCTCTCCGGATTTGAACCTGCAACCTGTCGGTCTTCAGTCCTGCCGGCACAGGGATTTAACCCACTGCACCACCGGGCATATAATCCAGATTAGCAAAGCAGATAATCCGCATGTTCTGCTTTGAACTGGATTGTGTGAGTCTACACTGCCATATAATCCAGTTCAAAGCAGATAATCTGGATTTTATATGGAAGTGTAGAAGGGGATTAAAATAATCCCGATTATCTACTTTGAACTAGATTATATGGCAGTGTAGACTTATATAATCCTGTTCAAAGCAGATAATGTGGATTATCTGCTTTGCTAATCTGGATTATATGGCAGTGTAAAAAGGGCCTTAGTTAAGCTGACTAGAACTTTTCCACATTCACGATCGCTACTTAAGGTACATCTAGACTTTAGAATTGATGCAGTTTGACACCACTTTTGATTTCAATGGCACTTCTGATTGCAATGGCTTCCTGGAATTTGTTGTTTTCTGAGGTACCGGCATTCTAAGACAGAGAAACCTAAAGACCTTGTAAAAGCATAGTTTCCATGATTCCATAGCATTGAACCATCAGATGCCCCTGAGCAGCTGCATCTCTGGTAGAAAATCAAAAAGTACAGCTGTTCCTCCACATTTGCGGGTTTAACGGTTGCAGATTTGGTTATTCACAGCTTGGATTAAAATGTTTTCTCTAGGAATCCCTACATCCTGCCGTGATTCTAGGGTGAACTTGCACTGGATGCTGACCATAGAGGCACACTAAAGGACCTAGAGATGCTTAGATAAGATACTTCTCTAGACATTTGTAGGTCCTCCAGCAGAATTCTATGGTCAACTTTGTGTCACACTAAAGCCACCTGATACCATTTCTCTCTATTCATTACAGCATTCAGGTTCGCTATGGAGACTCATGGTCTGTCACCGAAGGCAGTACTGTGGGTAACCTGTCTGGCATGGAGCTGTACCACGGAGAAGGATTTATCCAAGTCACGGGGCGTTTTGGGAACTATGTGGAGTACCTCGCTTTTCGGACCAACCTGGGGCGCGTCTTTGCCTTCGGGCCCAGCTTTGGTCCTGGGATGGGCTTCGAAGCTGAGCCGATGTTCCCAAACACCGTCCTGCGCTTCATCAGTGGGCGCTCAGGTTCTTTGGTCAACTCTCTTGGGTTCCACTGGGACCAAGACCAAGAGATCGGGGCCGGGAATCAATCCTCCCTTTCCACAGAGCCGTCTGCAATCACAGCCACTTAGGTGACAGAAATGAATAAACACACCCAATGTTCACCTCTATTTGTACTCAATCTTTACTCTGGATCTGGATGGGGCAATGGTGAATAAAGAACTACCAATGAATGAAATTATTGGAAGTAACAACAGGGTGTTTTGAACCTGTATTTGTTTATTTATTTCAAACATTTATACCCCGTCCTTCTCAACCCCCAAGGGGGGGCTCAGGGCAGTTTACAACCGGCAACAATTTGATGCCTCACATACAAAAACAAAATATAACAAGGCAATTACACAATGAATAAAACATTAGGTTGAAATCAATTAAAAACATTATTATCAACCGTATAGCCATTTCCAAGTCTGATTCAGCATCCAAAGACCCAATTCAAAGCCTGTCCATAACATTACAAGTGTGGTCATGCCTGCTGCCCAAATGCCTGGTTCCAGAACAATGTTTTCAGCTTCTTCCTAAAGGAAAGGAGGAATGGAGCTGACCTAATTTCACTGGGGAGCGAGTGCCACAGGTGGGGGGCCACCACTGAGAAGGCCCTGTTCCTCGTCCCCGCCAAATATACTTGCAAAGTTGGCGGGATCGAGAGTAGGGTCTCCACGGGTGACCTTAGACCCCGAGGCAGGACGTAGAAGGAGATATGTTCGGACAGGTAAGTTGGCCCAGAACTGTATAGGGCTTTAAAGGCCAAGACCAGCACTCTGAATTGTGCTCAGAAATGGACCGGCAGCCAGCGGAGCTGACACAGCAGGGGGATGATATGCTCCCTGTATGTTGCTCCAGTAAGTAATCTGGCTGATGCCCGTTGGACTAGTTGGAGCTTCCAAACAGTCTTCAAAGGCAACCCCACATAGAGTGTGTTGCAGTAATCTATTCGGGATGTAACAAGAGCATGGACCACTCTGACCAGATTAGACTTCCCAAGTTACAGGTACAGCTGGCGCACTATTTCTACATGCTTTCTACATTATTTTTCAATAAAACTTCATTCCATTTTTTTNGAATACATTCGGAGAGGTAAACAGGGCTGGAGTCGTTTAGGGCTTTATAGGTTAACACCAGCACTTTGAATTATGCTCGGAAGCTAATCGGCAGCCAGTGGATTTTGGTAAAGAGATGTTATCATTTGATGAAATGCATTTTATGTTAGGGAAAACTACCCTAAAATATACCGCAGAGCATCCCAAAACAAACAGGATACAAAAAGCTGAGCATCAGCTCATTAGCGTGCAGAGTGTGAAGTGCCATGTGATGTCACTTCTAGCCAGTCTTCTAGGGAGGGTATTTTGGGAGTGGGAGGAAGGTTAGCTAAGGCTAAACTTAAGATATGTGTAAGAAACCCCATTATCATAACCCCCAATAGTCGCATTGCATTGTTGCTTGTTTGTTATTACCATGAAAGGACAGAGACTTGCCCCGCCATGCTTGGCCCATGGGCATCATACGAAAGACTTTTCCTTGCCCTCTGCAAAGGCCTAAAAAGTTAGCAGCCAGAGGCAGGAAAGCCAGTTAGCAGGTCCTCTGCAATGATTGGCCAAAGAGCAGCTCTTTGGGCCCGCCCCTGCTTCCAGGGTAGAAGCAGCCATTTTGGAGGTCTCCCTGCCCCTTCAGTAAAAAGGAAGAATCCATGATGTGTTGTTGGCAGACAGGTACCTCCGAAGATACCATTGTGAAAACAATTGAGTTTAATTGAGACCTATAGATAATAGATAGATAGATTTATTGAGTAATTGAGTTTAATTGAGTCATAGATAGGGAACAATTGAATATATTTATTTATTATTTATTTATTTACTTTGCTTATATACCGCTGTATCTCAAGCCCGAAGACAACTCACGGCGGTTCACAAACAGTAAAAACAGTAGAAACAGCAGTGGTTCCATACAACATATAACAATTGACTTAACACATTATCCATAAATTACCAATAAGCAATTACAATGCACAATTATTACAAAAAACAACCGTACCCAATCTTCTCATCATCCAAGCGTAGTCCAGGTTCGTCGTCCCTTGTTCCATTCCTATGTTCCATTACCAGATTGCACTAAATTACTCAAACGCCTGCACAAACATCCAGGTCTTCACCTTTTTGCGGAATACCATTAGAGATGGTGCTAGTCTAATGTCCGTAGGAAGGGCGTTCCACAGCCGAGGAGCCACCACCGAGAAGGCCCTATCTCTCGTCCCCGCCAGCCGAGCTTGAGAAGCAGGCGGGATCGAGAGCAGGGTCTCCCCGGAAGATCTCAAAGTCCTGGTGGGTTTATAGGCAGAGATGCGGTCAGATAGGTAGCTTGGGCCGGATCCGTTTAGGGCTTTAAAGGCCAACGCCAGCACTTATAGATAGAGTTTATTATTTATTTATTTTATTTATCGTGTCATCAGCAACCATACCATTGTATTACAATTCTAACAGAACAAAGCAAACACACAGATTAAAAAGAAAAGAAAAAACACAGATTTTGCAAACTTGGTAGTTGGTTAAATGTCCTTTGACCAGTACCTGGCCCCTTGGAGTGCCTCTGGTGTGGCCGCAAGAAGGTCCTCCATTGTGCATCATGTGGCAGGGCTCAGGTTGCATTGCAGCAGGAGGTCAGTGGTTGGCTCTTCTCCGCACTCGCATGCCAAGGATTCAACTTTGTAGCCCCATTTCTTAAGATTGGCTCTGCATCTTGTGGTGCCAGAGCGCAGTCTGTTCAGCGCCTTCCAAGTTGCCCAGTCTTCTGTGTGCCCAGGGGGGAGTCTCTCATCTGGTATTACCCACGGATTGAGGTGCTGTGTTTGAGCCTGCCACTTTTGGACTCTCGCTTGCTGGGGTGTTCCAGCGAGTGTCTCCGTAGATCTAAGAAAA